TAACATTCCCACCAAACTTCAGATGACTGGTACATTTTCTGGTGTCTTCTAATACGTAGAAATCTTTGGTAATTTCAGTGTTTCCCGTTGTCTTACACGGTATGCAACCACAAGGTAGCCTCGAAAGCGAAAGATATTCACCCTCAAATAATCAAATGTTTTCCCATGTTTTAAATGGTGTATTCAAATGTAGTATCTGGAATGCCCCTAATCGAAGCATTTTTGTTCTGCCATTGTTCATATCTTTACAGTCACTTCACACCATATAATAGTTAACTGCATACCTGTGCTGACCAGACACAATGTTAATTGACCTATGGCTAAGTCCTGCCCTCAAATGCGAAGAGCCAATCACAGTGCGTATAGCCATTCCCATACACTGGGACATTCTCTGCCTGGACGTCCATTGAAATGCATTACACAAAGTCAGTTTTGTTTGGTTTTATGAGTTTTTTCTGAGATTTGAAGTTTAAAAATGGTCAAACGATGTGCATGGGGTACATGCAACTCTGACACAAGGTATCCTGAGAGGCTGGGCGACCAGGTGTATTTTTTACACTTTAAACCACATCTCAACCGAGAAAAGTGTCTCCTTTGGATTAAGTTGTGTGGTAACGTTAGAGCACAACATCAACTCAACGTGAATAAGATTAACAATGATGTCTACATCTGTTCTAAGGTAAGTCAACATTGTGTTTGAGGCAACATATTGTCACTTTGCTGGAAAGAAATATAAAGTTATCTTTAACATCTCTAGCTAACGTTAGCTAAAGTTAGCCTAACGTTAGCTCCTAGCTGCGTTGTTCATCATGTCACCTTGTTTGCTGGGAGTTCATTAGCCTATTTTGTTCTAGTTTTGTACTTTGGTGATCGTACATCATTGTTAGCTGTTGTCCAAAGGGCTCTAGTTAAGCTAACGTTAACTTCTGGAGCTTAGCTTCATTAACTTATCTGTAATGGCAGAGATAACAAAGGTTGGCAAACGTTATGCTGAATGATTCAGTGTAAATACTGTAGCACCAAACTAACGGAGAGACACTCTTGGTAAAGATGGTAAAAAGGCCGTTATCCTTTTCTCATATTCTGAGCCAAAAACCTTAACTTCAGTGGCACTTTAACTTGTTGTCTTTGATGGTGACGGCAACCAGATGCGGTTCACAAGCGTACACTGTGACCTGTAAATTTTGGCTTGTAATTTAAGCTTTTCATCGACCTTCTCAACAATAAAATGATGAATATATCCCTCCAATGCGTAGTTTAGGCCCTTTTGGTTACTTCTCAATGACATCTGATCGTTATGTCCGCAAAAATCATCAGTTGCCTCCTGTGAAATGCCGTGTACTGTGACACCTGCCATAGCGCCGCTCACTGAATGTTGATAGTTTGTCCGAGTGAGTTGAGGGGGGCGTGGCTTAGCCATAGGTCAATTAGTTTACGAGCGGAGATACTGTCCAACTGCTACTGAGCATCCTGGCAGCATTTAGATCCATTCCATTTAAATAGTTAAAGCTGTAGTAACACTAATTTCACAAAATCTCCACCCCCTAAAAACATGACTGTGAACCCTGGATGATGTGGGGGATGTGGCCTCAAGAGACCGGTTAAACTAAAACCAAGATTAATGGAATAATTGGGTTTTTTGGTAGACCCTCCTGAGTGGGTTTTTAAGCACTCTTAGAAGGTGGAAAGGTTCTGGATGAAACCCCCACAAAGCATTCTGGGTGGAAACATTACACCACAGCAGGCGTCTCTGTAAAACCTTTCACAGGCATTCTGGGTTGAACCTTTCACAGATGGTTCTAGTGCTGTGTCTCAAATCTGGTACTTCCGTACTTACACTTGCTATTTTGAGTGCGTACGTCTGTTCACACTGAGAAGTACGCCAAAATGCAGTGCAGTTTGAGTGCCCGGCTGATGCATTTGTTACGGTCAAATGGTGTGGAACACTGAACACGTCGGGTCCATGTCATTGGTTCGACAGCCCATTGGTTCGACATGCCATTAGTCCGAGTGTCCGCAGTGCTGAACGGCTCGCGGCGGGCGTATGGTGCGCCGCGACCAGCTTGAGGCAGGCAGGCTCACGGCTTATGTGTTTGCCACTTTCTTTTTCATTTTAACCCACACCATGATCTTTTCTTGACCCTAACCAAGTGGTTTTTGTGCCTAAACCTAACCAGACCTTAACCACAGGGCATCATGATGATTTCAGAACGGACTTTGAACAATGAGTTTAATATGGTCGGAACAATGGGATGTCGAACCAATGGGCAGTTCCTGAACACATCTCGCCATGTTGCCCATGTAGTGAAAGGGGTGGGACCACAAACATATTTCAAACTTGTGAAATACAACACTGAAGCACTGTTCTAATATACATGGTATTTTTCACAACCACATCAGTTCATTGGGTTAATTCTGTAATAATATGGTACCACAAACTATAACATGAATGCTAACATTAGCTTGCTAGCTAACTAACAGTGGCACATTTAATTATATAACATTACTTGTCTCGTGGCATAACCTTTAAAACCTAAGGGCGTACTTCACATGTGGTTGTGATGCATGTTTAATTGTCGTCTTCACCGTAGAAGTTTTGTGGACAGTTGTAAATATTGGCAAAAAGCAGCAGCTGTAGGTACCTCTGTAGATCAGCTGGTGAAAGAGCTAGCCGGTATCAACCATTGACATTCATAGACACAGAAGTGTGCTGTTAAAATATAGATGGATTTAAAGCCCAACTTGCAGGTTGGAGACCATAGTGAATAAATGTGTAGGAAAAAAAAACATAAACACACTACAGTGACTTTTGGGGTCGTTTTTGTGAGAGAATTTTGCTTCCGCATCTAAAAACCCACTAACCGGAAGTGACGTAGTGTAAGGGAGTCCAGCCGAGTTCGATTGAGTGTAACATAAATAAACATGGATCCCAGTACTAGTTTTGAGACTGAAGAGGTTGAAAATGTACATTCATATGCATATGACGGCCCACAGGCTTATAATTATGAGCCTGCTAGGCGTCCAAGAGACCAGGAACAGATCAGGGTTAGGAGAAATAACGGCCACAGGAGAGAAATAGAGCTGTGGTGTGAGGAGAACCAGTGGAGAACTGGGCAGGTGTCTTGGTGAGCGACAAGCGTTAGCTAACGAAAGCTAACGATGTCTAACGCTGTGTTCACATCACAACATTAAGTTTGCCATCACGTATTAGGTTATAACAAAGCTACCAATAGTTCTGCCACTATTAGATAACTAATGCTACTTACCCAGAACACAAACTAATGCGCAAATATCAGCTTGTATCAGACGTATCTTGCTATGTGTGTTATAACTCCGCATTACGGTGTATTGATGTCCGCAGGGGAGAGAGGGAGAGAGAGACAGATACGAAGATTTCCTGATCATTTTTGTATGATAGGTGCTTGTGTGGGAACTGCCAGCCCATGTCCTCAGCTGTGGAGAGTATGTGCTGCAGGGAGGTGGATGCCTTCTGGGCTCTGGTGGAGAATTTGACCCCCAGACCAGACATAACATGCCTCACGCTGCCCATCAACCCTCACGCTGCCCGCTGCCGAGCGGCCCCGCACATACCCCCGTGCGGGGCCGCGAGCCTCAAACACGGAGGCCTCCGTCTCTGCGGAGCCCGCCCGCCCTCGCACATACCCCCAAGGCTCGGGTCTCCGCGGAGCCTCGGGGGTATGTGCGAGGGTGGGCGGGCTCCGTCAGGAACATAATCCTCCTGTCCAAAATGAGCGTTGCACACGGCCGCATTTTTGGTCACAGATGAAGGCGTGAAATCGCGCCTCTTCACCTGCACAAAACCCACCCAGGCACGAAAACTAACTCCACTCCTTTTTCCGTCTGGAAAACGGTGGACTCCACGTCCTGACAGACTCGAGTTTGTGCAACCTGCACAAACACAATAATTCGGCATAATCACAAATGGTGAAATGCATTGTTAACAACCGAAAAAATACTAACTCACAAGTTTACTACCGCTCAGACTCACTACCACCTACTACTGTGCACTGGACAGAGGCAGGGTCAAGGACACAGAGTCCCTCTCGTGACGTAGTATCAGGCGATGTTGAAAGAAAAAGTGTTTTTAGAAGAGGAGCAAAAAAGAGCCACTTTTTCCTCTGAATTTGTGCCCTTATGTCGTGTAAACCATAATAAATTCTGAATTAACTTCTCATATGGTAATTTTCAGACAAGGTTATGTATATATTACGATATTACGATGGTCATTTCCATTAAATGCGTAACAGCTGTATTTGATGTGAGACAACACTACACTGTCAAAATGTTCACACTACATAAGTAAGACAGTGTACTACATCCAAGTGTACTAAGCAAGTATCCTATCTGAGATGTTGGGTTCAAACTAGAAGCCTTGGAATGTCTTCCAGGTAGAAAAGGTGACAAGCTGACGAACCCTTTATGTTTCTAGTCAGCACCTTAATTTCTAAGAGTGCAGAAGGCACAGCAAGAACAAATGAACAGCCTGTTTTCATCGGAAAAAAGCACAAGTTTTTTAATTAGTTCAGATCACAACAGTAACTAAAGGAGTTTGAGAGAAACTGTTTCTCAGATGTCGAGGACCCCTGTGCATTGACACGACCCAGAGCCTTTTTACTGTGGCCTGCTTCTCTCTCGTTACGTTGCTGTTTTGGCAGATGTTTCGGCTGTTTTGTTTCTGCACTCTCATTAGACTTGGAAGCTTTGATTATCAACATGCAGGTGCACAATGCAACCTAAACCATCAATAATTAAAGGATTAAACTTTTAAGCTGGTTTAGTGCAGAGGTACGTGGTGTGCCACTCAATGGCGCTAATAAGGAATTAGAAGGAAGCTGCTGAAGGAGAGTGAGGAGAGGAGAGGAGAGACAGGAAAGAGAGGCAGGCTATGAAATTAGCATCTCGTCCCATGATTCCCTTGTGTTGCTATTTTTGTTTGTGCTGTCAGTCAAGGGCAGACGAGGGAGCGGTGAGCTGCTTACCTGTGGTCGAGGATGTCCCGTCACCAGACAGGTGAGCTCCAGGGTCTCTCCCTCTCTGATGGTGTAGACTCTCTCTGTGTGCCTCTCCTCCTCAACATTACAGGCATGCCCTGAGTGTATAATGCGGACAGTCGGAGGTGCTGCGGAGGAGAAAGCACAGAGCGTGTTAGCATTCCGGTCATTGCTGCAGGAATGAGTAGTTTAGCACAACAGATTGTGTATTGATTAAGAGGTTGTCTCACTGGGAAAAAAAGCCTCCTCCAAAGCGTCGTGGCCACGTTTGTACTGCACACAACAAACCAGATGTATTTATACAAGAAAAAAAATGAAGAAAGAATTGACATATTTTACTTTTTACAGCTTTGTTTGGGCTTCTCAAAGATAGCTAGTATATTAAATACAAAGTCGGGGAAAGCTACTTTGGGAAAATGATTCACTGTCTATGTTGTCTTTATTTGAAGTAACTTGTGAGAGTAGCACTTTCACAGACGTGTGCGACTGATAGAGCTCATGCTGCCAAGTGTTGTCAAACACGGCTTAAAAAAAACGTGTAAGACAGATTTCATTTCTTTTTTAATCTTGAGCAAATTTTATACACGTCAAGTGTGTTTTTTCCCCAGTAAGCAGCTTTAGTTAAAGCACGAAATGAACAACTGTTTCTTTTTTAATTTGCACAAACAAAGATGAAAACTGTATTTATCTCTCTAAGCATGTATGTCAATTGGAAGCACAACAACAACAACAACAACTGAAAAACCATGCTTCTAGTTTGCACTACACAGCAATGTGAGTACACTCCATCACTATGCAGCCTGAGCTCACCCCTAACACACTGATTGGCTCTTACAGACACAAAGCACAATCTAAACAGTGGTCATGCCATCAAAAAAACATAAAAGCCAAAAAAGTTGTTTAACCCTTCAAAACCTGGGTTGACATCCATTTTTTTGTGCTGCGTTCAAATGCCTTTTACAAGCATTTAAGCGTCCAAACCTGAAGAAACTAGTTTGATTTCTATATAAAACATAGCAAAGAGGCAACTCTTATTAGAAAAGTGTATTAGAAAATTATCAAAACAAGGAAAATATTTATAGTATATTTATATAGTTTTTTGTTAGGTAACTTTCTTGTTTGGCTTTTTTTTTTTTTTAGTTATTTTTTTGCTTGTTTTTGTTTTGTTTTATTTTTTATGGCTTATTTTTTGGTAATTTCTTGTCACTAAATTGAACATCTTGCTAATTATCAGGTCATTTCTTAAATTTCTTACTGCCCTTTTCCCATGTTTTTTTTTTTAATGAAGCCAATCAGCTCAGGTTTCAAAGTTTTAATACAGTTACAACAAATTATGCTGTTAACCCTCTCAACCCCACAATCCACCGGCAGGTTTGAAAGGCATGTTGTCCTTCAGAAAAATGACCAAAATTACATGATTTATCATAGCCAGAAACTGTAACAACAGATATTATTGTCATTTGATCTTCAGATTTCCAATAGTCCTTGAACATATCTTGTGCAACAAGCTCCTCTGTCAGGAAACACAGCCAAACCTGAGCTTAAAGGGAAACTGCAGGATTTTCTTTGAACAATAAAGCAATTTTTAGACTCATACAGAAGTAATCCTCTTAATCCATCACTTATGACTCGCTGGAAGTGTGTGGCGGTGTATTTTTCTGCCTGTATTTTCTTCTATTTTCATCTTATTTTGCTGTGTTCATGACGTTCCTGGGCACAGCAGGCAAGCAAGGTCACAGTTTTATAAGGAGGCAGCTACCAGGAGCAGCAAGCTTCTAAGAGAGAGCCAGAAAATTGCGGACGATGCCCACAAAGAACACAAATATAGCAAACAAGAGTGAATTCCAGGTCAGGCTTTCACTTTAACTTTCACTGGTGATACTGTTGTCAAACAGTAACCAACAATTTTTGCATAGCTCACATTTAAAATAGTGAGATTTTATCAAAATCACTTTATTCTATATGCTTCATTCATTCATTCACTTTCAGGAACCGCTTATCCTGTCATGGGGACCCTGGAGCCTATCCCAGCTGACACTGGGTGAGAGGCAGGGTTCACCCTGGACAGGTCACCAGACTATCACAGGGCTGACACATAGAGACAGACAACCATTCACACTCACATTCACACCTACGGACAAATTAGAGTCACCAGTTAACCTGCATGTCTTTGGACTGTGGGAGGAAGCTGGAGCACCTGGAGGAAACCCACGCTGACACAGGGAGAACATGCAAACAGAGGGGCCCCCCACCCATGGCTCATTACACTCTCAGCAGCTACTTTATTAAGTACACACACCAGCTCGTCTGGCACCAACAACCATGCCACGTTCAAACTCACTTAAATCACCTTTCTTCCCCATTCTGATGCTCGGTTTGAACTACAGCAGCTCGTCTTGATGTCTAAATGCACTGAGTTGCTACGACGTGATTGGCTAATTAGCTATCTGCGTAATGAACAGGTGTACCTAATAAAGTGGCAAGTGCATAAAAGACATTTTTGAGGCCCCCCTAATTGAATAAAAACATGAAAGGAGCATTGTTAATTATGACAAATGCTGATTTGCCATCCATACTCTTTATGTATGTGAATATACATCAATTTTATGTGATTCATGTGTTTAGTGGTGTAAATTCACCCAAACTGAGATACGCTTAAGTTGCCTGATGCTACAACAGGAGCATCATTATCATTAGAGGTGTCAGAAGCCCACACATTGTTTCTTTTGTATTTATTTCCCTCATTTTGAGTCAATATTTGACCTTGTGACCTTCAACAGTGCTTGTAAACCACCTGGGATTCACCTTTGCCCCGGTCACACTCTCTTGACTCTTGGTTATTTTGGGTCAACAGGTCAATACCACACTATGTTGACTTTAATTCTAGAGGGAAAATTAATGTTGGGAAAAATAAAGATTTGTCAGTTACGGCAGAAGCAGTAGCCAATCAGTATCACTCCACTTTGACTCAAAGTGACACTCGATTTGCATCTTAACCAAATCACGCAGCGTAAGCAGCAATAATTCAGATGCAGTGTCGAGTAGATGACCGACTGTGACAATTAATGGTAGTCTGCAAAACAAGTCCTTCCCTCTCCTCGTCCTCCTCACTTCCTCCCTACGGGAAAATAACTGAATGAATTTACAACTCAGTGTAATTAAATGCCAGAAGGGTTCCATTACCAAATCTCGCACATGTAAATACACTTTGAGTCATGACTCCGAAAAATTATCATTTTATGAGTTAATGTCTTGAAGGTGACTTTGAGATAATTTCACAAAATTTCAATATTAACCTAAAATATTCTCCACTGTCATTAGACCATGTGGAGAGTGGGCGTCCATATTTAAATTGGTTGGATCTCTCATTTTGGAAGAGAACTCATCATTTAGCACATTCATTTTAGCACATCATTTCCTAATGTAATACAATTAGGGATATAAAAATGCCAGAAACTGTGATAAGGGCAAATTAAACTCACTATTCAGCAGCGGAGGCTCACTGCAGTACAAGCTCAGGGCAGAAAAAACTACACACAGCTGTATGTCCACAGCTGTAGTTACCACACTGGTGTCTCTCTCCACCATTAGCTGACCCCTGTGACAGTGAGGACGTTTCAATCCCTCCACAGCCGAGCATGCAGAGGGAGGGGCGAGTCGTGTTAGGTAAACCGCCCAAAACACCGAGTTCCACTGAGCTGTGAAAGCGCAGTTGCATGTAACCGACCCCTGACAATACTAGCATCTGTTAAGCATTTATTCCTCTCCAACTTACATGATTAGTGAAGAGGTTTGGGATGAGATGATTTAGAGAGCGGATACGGGATATGATTAGGAGGAGGACTACAAATTGGTGAAGGGGAAGAAAAAAAAAACGAAGCAGAAATCACAAGGAGATACAGACTGTAGTGAGCCTTTCATGTTGGAGGAGCAGCTTCCTGTGCGGGCCTCTCTCGGCAGACTCAGCGCCCGGCAGCAGACTCGGTTCTGCCTTTATCCAGGCTGCGATGCTAATGAGCGTGGCGACACTCCTCCCTAACGCTGCGTTGGGAGTCTCAGCCGCAGTGTATCCTTAGCCACGCGCTAAGCGCTTGTCCCTCCCTGTTACCAGCCATGCTGTTTGTCTCATCCGGCTTGTTAGGGTAATGCCCCACCGCGCTTGTCCTGCCTGTCTAAATGCTACGCGGATTGATGAACACTGATGCGGATGCTAACAGGCTACTCATAAAGCCTTGTTGGACTTGTCTGGCTCTTGCCCGCTCGTCGTCTTCGTCTCTCCATTTGGAGATGAATACACTGGTGGGGAATTCCATAGAGGGGGATAAGGGCTTGAGAAATAGGCTCAGTGTAAGGGAGCTTCACGCAAGGCTGCCACTTGAAACAAAAAAAGGCTCTGAAACAAGGCCCCAGGGCACTCGCCCAACAAAGTACTAATGCCATTTACTCCAATGAGCCAGTATCTCTGCAGCATACTATCAGTCCTGGAGGAAAGTAGGGAAACACCCGTAATTAATGATCTTCAACTGCTATAGCTGCTCCACACACATAAACACACACTTGGTCTTTATGCAGACAGCACTAAGCTTACAGCAACAAAAGCAAATAACCCTCTCTTTAAGCATACATAATGAGCGCCATAATGTTCTCGCACATCCTTGTATAGCAAAGACCCCGGCTCGGATCACTTGGCCCAAAGCGTGCGCTGGAATCACTGTCATTACTACATCATTTTCTGTTTGTTTAGTTTTCATTAAAGCAACTCGATACTGACAGTAACTACTCATAGTATATGCAGAAAAGACGTCTGACAAAGGATGATGAGACACTAATGCACTGGGACTTTGGGGTTGTACAAAGTGAGATGTCAACGCGCTGACAGGTCGGAGATAAAAGATGTCCTGGCAGAGGGGATGTGGGTGATAGACAAAGCTTTGAATGCATCGCAGCAGGCCAGACACAGCTGGTTATATCCATTAACGTCAGTCCATACAAGTTTATTACGGGAACTAGGATTCTGTCGTACACAGCGTAACTGTTATGGTGTAATGGAAACGTCTTTTAATTTTTCAGACCGTACAGCAGGTTAACACACTGACAGGAGAATCAACATTTATAGATTCACTGCGTT